GCCCTTCCCTCCTGTCTCTACCCACTTAAGACTCCTAACATGTGCACAGTGTTCATGCCAATGGCCCTACTGTGTGCCAGCCTTCTAGGCCCATCTCCTCCTGCCCCCTCAGTCACTCCAACAACAAGGCAGGGCTTTCCCTGTCCCGTTCCTTCACCCAAACACACACACATTGAGATGGACTTGGGATCTGGAAACAAGTCCCACCCCTACCTCCCTAGTGCAAAGTTCCTGGCAAGCCACTTTCCCTCTTGGGCAATCACTAGCTTTGCCTGCCTTACAGGACTGCTGTGAGCATCACAACAAGTAGTAATGGGGACTCTTTGTTGAGTACCTACTATGTGCCAGGCACAGTGCTTGTCACCTCACATCCACTCGGGTCTCACCACGCCTCTGTGGGACACCACTGTCCCTCATTCCCATTTCACAGATGGCAACACTGAGCCTCAAGGTGCTTTCTAGGCTCAAGGGCAGTGTGTATGCAGACACTGCCACCGCTGCTCCTAAGTTACTTTTCCAAGTTCTTCTGGGGAGAGGCAGATAGTACCAGCCCTACTGAACTTCTATCCATAGGAAAGGGCCCTTGTGGGGGCCCTGGCTGGTCTGAGGCCCCTGTGCCAGGCCCCCAAGCTCTACCCAGATGTCCCATCAGATACAGAAGCAAGCCCACCCTGAAGCTATGAACAATGAGCTGCATAGTAAGTGCCCTCGCCGTTGACAAAAAGCCAGAGACAGAGACCATCTTCCCAGTTCCTACCCAGGGAGACCCAGAGGTTCTCAAACAGAAGCCACCCAGCCTCCAGACTGGACCCTCAGGCTCTCACCCACTCCTCCTCAGTCTCTCCCTGCTCCCTGGCCAAGAGTCACCCTCACCTGTCAGAGGCACCAGGCAACTAAGACCTAGGGCTCAGTCACTCCACTTCCTTAAGGCATTGGGCCCACCATGGGCGTTTTCTAAGCCTGGGTCAAAAAATGAAAGCAGAGTTAGGAAGGGCCTCACGAACACTATGCACTGTCTCCCATTGTGCAGGTGAGGAACGGTGTGACTTTGAGAAGAGACGTGACACGCCCAAGGTCACATATGGAGATGGCAGCAAAAGCCAGGACCCGAACCTGGGTGTCTTGACTTCTAGTCCTGTGCTCCTTCACTGCAGAGGACTCTGTCCCCACAGGGAAGGAATAACGAACGCATCCATTAACAGAGCAGCTGCCAGGAAGGCCAGAGCTCACGCTCCTCGCCCCGGGGCTCCAGCTGCTCCGACTGGCCCGTGCCTTAGACTCTGTGCCCGAATCTCTGGAAGTGGCTCTGCTCCATCCTGCCCACAACTCATCCTAAGCTTTCCCAAAACAGGTACGCCCTGAGCAGTGGCCAGGGGGCGTCACCCTGCCTGGCTCCAGGGGCTTTGTTTATTTTCACAGTGTGTCCACGGTCGTTTCCGCCCTGCCCACAGGAGGGAAAGCTTTAAAGAGAATCTCAGTTATTAATGTGGTTTCTTTTGTTGTAAGTCATCGCAAAGGCAGTAAACGAGGGTTTATTTTCTTAACGTGCTTGGCATAGCTCAGCTCCCCCGCTCAGACCTCAGAGTTTGATTTGGGAGGAACCCGAGACCCCGGTTAGTTCTGAGTCACTGATGAAGCCACAGCCTTCCCGGCCAGTTCCGGGGGGAGCCTGGTCTGGGAAAGTCATTGGCAGGAATAAGCTATGTCTACCGGGTGGCTCTGCAAAAACAAAAGATTAAAAAAAATTTTTTTTTTCTTAAATTTTGAGCCTGCTCATCTTGCAGGTTGAAAACACATCATCAGTTTTCCAACACACTCATTTCTCTGTGATCCCTTATTGCTCTAACAGGGGGCAGGCACCCCATCTCTCTTTGGTGCCTATTTCTTTGTTTGGATTCGGAAAACAGCCCCAGAAGCCACAGGATGACCCACTTCCAAGCATGCCCGAAGCCCTGCAAGCGCCAGGGCGCCTGCAGGTCCAGGACTGGAGAACTTGCCAGCCCAAGGCCCAAGCTGCTGGCCTGGGGTCTGGAGTCCTGCACCTTGAGGTTGGTTTGTCTGCTTTGGAAAGGTGACGTGGGCTGGGCTCACCAGGACAAGGGGAGGAGAGGCCCCTCTTTCCCCACCTTTGGAGATCTCAACTTGGGGACCCAGTTAGTGGCAGAGGGAGGGTATGACTGCCCCACATGCTCCTCCCTTCACCTGTGCCTTTCAGGCCAGACCTAGACAAAGGGATTCTCTCCTCACAGAGCCCCGGGGGTGGGGGGGGTGGGGGGACCACAGGGCGACCTGCTCCCTCTCCAGGAATCACCGCTTGGCAGTAGGCTCCCCAGCTGGCTTTAGGAAGATGCTTAACTCTACATATGTTGTTGTTGTTGTTATTTGCCGTCGAGTCGGACCCGACTCATAGCGACCACTCCTTGGGTTTCCGAGGCAGTATCACTACGGAAGTAGATTGCCCCATCTTCTTTCCGAGGAGTGGCTGGTGGGTTTGAACCGCCAGCCTTCTGGTTAGCAGTCAAGTGCCTTAGGCACTATGCTACCAGAGCTCCCAACTCGACATATAGCTTTTGGATTTCATGGGTTAGTGATTTTTTTTTTTTCCCCCAATTTGAGGAATGGGAATAAGATTATCACCACCTTTTAATTTTGCCAAGTAAGGACGTTAAAACTAGATTTTTTTAGCTCCATGACAAACTCTCCAAATTGTCCTCATTTTTCTCCTTTTGCTGAGGCCTGAAGAAAAATATCCCTGAGGGCCAAGAGCAATGAGCTCGATTGTGTGGCTGCTCCGTCCTCCGCAGGGCCGAGGTCTGGCTGGGGTTTCCAAGGCAGGAGCCAGCCCTGTGAGTGCCTCAGTGACCCGGGGCCCATGTCCCTCACGGATGATGGGCAAAAGATGCCTGCCCTAGGTGTACACTGTGACTGCTGCCCTAGGGCCCCACACTCAGCGTGTCCCTTGTCCCCAAACGCACTAATGCTTGGGTATTTCCAGTGTGCTGAAGCCTCTCCTCAGGACAAGGCCTGTGGGCCTCACAGATTCTCATGGAGGGTGGCACAGCCCAGGCGCTCAAGTCTCAGCTCACACTAGCTGTCCTGGGATTCCCGGGGAAAACCTCCATTCAGAAACCTTCTACAGTGTGTCGAAGAGAAGCAAGACCTTTTACTGTCTGTTTCCCCAGCTGGGGGCCAGGGCAGATAGGAGCATCCCACACCCTGGCCAGGACAGGGGTACAAGAATGTTTTGGTCTCCTTCCTTTCTCCCCATCACCTCTGTGCCCTGCTCTTCTTTCCTGCTCTGCCTTTTTCTCCAGCCCACGCCCTCTCCTTTTCCTCTTTTTTGTCACCCGTCCTTCTTTCCCTTCATCTTCAATTTGTTCTTCCTTCTCTCCCTGCCCGCTACAGTCCCTATGTATCCAGGTAAAATAAGAGTCCTCTACCCACTGTGGGAGGGAGCGCTGGTGGCACAGTGCCTAAGGCATTTGCCTGCTAACCAGAAGGCTGGCGGTTCAAACCCACCAGCCACTCCTCGGAAGGAAGGCTGGGCAATCTACTTCCATAGTGATACTGCCTCGGAAACCCAAGGAGGGGTCACTATGAGTTGGACCCAACTCCATGGCAGTGAGGGCGAGGACCTAGGGTGGGCGAGGAGGCTGGATTGAAGCTTTTCCTCCCTAGAGATCTGAGCTCCTCAACTGACCTGGGGCTAGCAGACTCTCCCTTCTGTACTAGAGAGCACCCCTACTTTATCCCTGGTCATTTTACTATCAGAGATCTAAACCTCAACTCTCAGAGGTGGATCTGCCCACTTCCTGCTCACTCCAGAGAGCGAAGAGAGTTGGCAGTCCACAGGGCTGGCAGGCATTGAATGTCACTTAGCTGGCCACAGTGGTCCCTTGTGTGTGAGCCAGGGCCTTCACCTCAGGCACAAGCAGCCCCACACCGCCACGCCAGACTCACCACAGGCTGGCAGGCGCTCCTGAAGGGGCACAGTGAAATGCAGGCATGTGTCAGGCGTGCCCCCTACAAACACACATGCTTCCAGATGCAGTGTCAGCCTAGGCTGCAGTCACCGCAGCGTTCCCTGCACCTCTTCTCATCTGGGAAACCAGGGCCATGCAGCCAGCTGGGCAGCCCTGAGCCCTGGAGACTGGTGTGTGTAGGGGCTTGCCCAGGAGTAGTAGGAAGGCTGTTGGAGTCAGGTGGGTGATTCTTCAAGGTCCCAGAGCCTCCAAAAGCATAGGCCACTCCACAGAAGTAGGGAATAGGGGCAGTTGTCTCTTTAGACAGATTCTTTGGCTGGGGTGGGGCGCCACCCCCTTTTCAGGGTTTAGGGGAACTGCCACACTCTGTAGGCCTCTCCCCCATCCCCAACTGTCCAGGGCTGGCTGAGACTTTTGCTTTATCCCCATCTCTGCCTCCCTTTCCCTCCTCCCCCCACTTCTTACCAACTGCTCAGGATTCTGTGTGACATTATTAAAAAGCCACTTGGGTGGGTTGTTTATTTTCAAAGCCCCTTCCTAATGACCTTTAACCTCAAAGGGTGAGAAGAGTCTTGGCTGGCTCAGGCCAGAGCCTTCAGGGCTGGGCCACTGAGCTTAGGAAGCTGCTGGGAGGGGGCAAACTTGGGGGAGGGGAGCAGTCGTCCCCACTGTACCCAAAGAATGTATCTAAAGATGACCTAGTAAGAGCTGAGGGGATGCAAAGTTTGAACCCTAGTTGTGTGACACGTGCCAAGTCACTTGGCCTCTCTGAAGCTTGCTTCCCCATCTGTAACACGTCAGTATCACATCCACTGCCCTGGCGGTTTGGGATGAGGTGAGGGCTGGGCACGCAGACAGCCCACGCCCTCAGTGGTAGCCAGTAACACATCAGAGGGCTCTCGCCAAAAAAGGTCCCCTCGCTCAATTGAAAGTCCTAGTCAACCGCAGCCCACTCACCACCCACCGCCCATCACTGACAGACAGCCTTTCTGTGGCTGTGGGGCCAGCCATTCACACCGTCTGCAGCGCCCAGCACCCTTCCCCGGCCTGGCCCGCACACCAGGGAGGCCCTGCAGCTGCGTCTCCTCCGACGCCCACTTGGCGGGGCAGCCTCCGCGCCGCCTACTCCACCCTTGCCCTGGGGTCTGGCAGACGGAGCGCCCGCGTCTCCTGCCTGTCCCAGGGCGCCCCTCCGGCCTCGAGCCTCTCTGCTCCTGGCATCCTGCTTCTCCTCTGCTTCCTCCGGCCCCGCGCACCTTCGGGCCCGCATTTCCGTTCCCACGACCTCTCGGGTCCCGCGTCCCGGCCCCGGCAGCCCCGCGCCCGCGCGCACTCACCGTCCTGCGGCGCCGCCTCGCTGCCGCT